ACGAATTTGTAAATATTTTTTAAGATAGGGGCTTCGTTTTTCTATTTAAAGATTAATAGCTTCGAGTTTTTTTAAAGCTTGGTTGGGAAAGTTAGATTCTAAAGAAATATAAGATTTACCTAATTAATTCCTACGAAAGAGAAATAATCTGCGAAATTTTAAAGAAATTTTCTAAATAAGGTAAGATCTATAAAATTAAAAATTATATACCGTTTTCGTTCTTTATCTTTATTATTCAGTAAAATATACTTAATAGTATTTATAAAGGCCGAATAGTAATTAATATTCGTAACCTTGATTAAATTATCTTATTAAATTCTTACTTTATAACCTCCTAAAACGATATATTCGGTTCGATTAGAGATAAAGAGTTTATTTTATCCTTCGATGCTATTAGCTTCTATTATTAATAACAAATCTACCTTAATTTAAATTAGGTATTTATTATTATAACCTTAGAAAGTTAATATATATTTAAATACTTAATCATAGGCTATAAAGGTAATAACGTATTCGTTTAATATTAAATAGATTCTATCCTATAGGATATCCTAGCCGCCCGAAATTATTACGACGATATTATAGTAGCCTCCTCAATTTTGAACAAATATATTCAACATTTATATCGATTATTTGAAGTATTCCGAATCATAAATATTAGTATTAGGCCGTTTAAATCTTTTATTAGATTCCCGAATATTATAATCCTAGGAAGGATGATTAATTCCTTTAGTTCATTTATAACCCCTGAGCGTTTTAATACTATTAAATACTTATAGTTTCCATTAAGCCTTAGGGATTTTAAATACTTTTTAGAATTTATAGGCTATTTCCGTAATAATATTCTTTAATTTTCAATTTTGATTTTACCCCTTTAGGAATGTAAAATACAAATAATTAAAGAGAACGACAATAAAAAGAAACGTTCGAAATATATTCGGAAAATTTGGGTTAAGAAAATTTAATTATTCCGGCCGTTAATTATTGAAAAGGCCGCTTTCGATATAGTAAAAGACGAACTTTTAAAAGAAATAATATTAGTTTTCTTCTCTATTAACCGATAATTATTCTTCGATTTTAACGTTTCTAAATACGGGAACGGCGTCTAAATTTATTATATTAATAAAGAGGTTATTCTTGAAATTTTAATTTTAAATAGAATAATAATTATCGCCTATTTATTACGTACGTTAATTTAATTTATTACCTTCCTAAGTTAGATTCTTCCTAATGTTAAATATAGGTATTAACTAACTGAAATAGAGATTTTAGGCTACGTTTAAATAATAAAAAAGATTCGCTAATAATTGTCAGTAATCAAGAAGATCCCTATAGTATTTACTGTTTATTAAATTATTTTTAGCTTTTAGCGTTAAGTAGATATAATTAATACTATAATAATTGACATAAATAATAAGAAATTCGTTAAAGCCTTGGAATATATTAGCTAATACGAATTCTAAATTATCTGTAATTAGGTAAATATTATATAGTACCGGACGCACTATCCCGCTTTTTAACCGATTTAAATCCTAACAATAATTTGGAAACCCTAGGCGAATTAAATATATTCTTTAATAATTACGAAGAATATTGGCAAGTTTATAATTATACCATTAAACCCGGACCCGACGAAAATTAAGAAAATTAGTAAATTTACTTTAATACTTTATTAGTAATATAATTAATATTTATTAAAGAGTTTAACGACCTTCAATTCAGTTAATTATTTATAAAAGGCTATATACTAATTTAAATATCCCTTAATTTCCATTGACAAATTATCGATAACTACGCCTCTAACCCTAAATTTAATAAAATCCGGAAGGAAATCCTCAATAACCTATTATTAAAACGTTAGAATTAAGCCTGATTTCCATTTTAATTTAGGAATGAACTTCTTTAAAAAATTATAAACGGGAATCTTAACTAGCTTTATATCTTATAATCTTATATTAAATTTATTTTCAATTCGATTTATTTTAATAATTATTATGGATACATTAAATTAAGCGAATTCCTACTCTTTTACTTTATTATTAATAGATTAAAACTATTTCGCCGGTACTTCGTTAATTGTTTAAAGTATCGTATTTTTGAAACTAAATAATATAAAGTATATAGTAATTTATAGCCTATTTTAGGACTTCCCTACCTTTTCTATACTATAATAATCGATTTTATTTTGGGTTTACTAATATTAACGCTAAACGGTTTCAACGCAATTATATTAACGATTTGTAAATATACTAAAATAATAAATACAATACCGGGCAAATTAATATAAATTGTAAAAGATTAAATAATTACTTTCTTTAATATTCTATTTATTATTAATTAGGGATTATTTAAAATTATTATTAGTAATAAAAATTTGAAATTCCTATCGGCCTTCTAGAAAACTTTATTTAAATATTTAGGAATACTCCTAAATAAATAAATAGAGTAAGCGTATAAAATTCGTTATTAAATTAATATTTAAATATTATATTAACGTTTTTAAGAACCCGAATTTATAGTTAATAATAATTCCTACCTTAATATTTAGAATTAATAATACGAAGGCTACCGCTATAGGATTAACGCTTAATGAAGCGATTATAGGATTTATATTTAATAATATAGCTGATATTATATTAGGATAAGCTAATTATAAAAATAATCGTTAATTTCAAAGCTTACTTCTACCTATCGCTAGAATTGTAATTAACAATATAATTACAATTTCGGCTATATTAATAAAAAAATATTTCGATCGAGGCTGCCTTCTTGAATTCTTCGAGGTTAACGATAAAATTATATTTAGGCTTTATTAACGGTATATTATACCAAAAATAATTATATTAAGTAAGAAGCTAGGATAATAATTCGTAGGACCCTTTAAAATTATTGAGAGAATTAGTCGATTAGCATATCGCCTAAATTTACCAAGAGATTAAAAAATTCATTCCGTTATTAATATCAATTATTTAGAATTAACCCCGCCAATAGATATTTTCAATAGATAGTTGCTGCATCCTAGCCCTATCCACTTATCTAATTATCCCTATAGTATAGTAGGATACGATGAACGGAGGAAGAAATATTTAATAGTATATAAAAGATTAGGAATTAAATATTATAAATAGAAGAAACTTAAAAATATTAGCATAGACGCTATAAAGCGTTATAAGGAAAGGCTATAGTAAAATAGTTTTGTATTATAGGAAATAATATATATAATTATAATATATTAGGAGTAATAATATACAAGACGGATTTATAGCGCAAGGCGGACTTATAGAATATATTTAGTTAGATTTGGTTTTTTTTTTTTTTTTTTTTTTTTTTTTTCGAATTTCAAACTCTACTACAACGAAGACGTCATATTTTTTCCTTTTTAGGGGGCATTATTAACGCTTACTAAACATATACATATAAAGTAGGCGCACCCTGTACTCTATGCTCTATATATATAGCCAATGCATCATGCACTTTATATAGTACCTTAGATTCTATAGAATACATCACACATCTGCACTCACTTCTTGCTTTTGCTCCGCCTTGCTTATGCCTCTGGTATTAACAGTGTGGGTCGGTGTTCCTGTCCGCTGTGGGGACTCGCGTTCGAGTGATCACTTACAGGACTTGACCAATCTGGGTTTAGCGGATGAGATGGGCGTCTAAATCCCTGCCACAATTGGCCAATGGTCGCTTGTTGTGCGTCGTTTTCGCGCGATGGCCATCGGCTCCCATCACACCCAGACGGCAGCCGCTATCACCAATCAACCTCACTTCTTGCCTCATCAGCCATCAATTGGAAAGAGCAGCCATCTCATTGAATCTCACATGTCGATATCGTCAATGCAATGTGTCCAAAAGAACCACAACGAACTGGCATCGTGAACAGAAAGAATCAGAAAAGGGTCGAAGAGGGAGATGGGGTCAGGTATATATCCCTCCGAACCTCGAATGGTCTCGTCATCACGAATGAAGCGCGCATTTGCGGCCATCAATGAACTAATGTAGGTCCCTCCATGTGTTCTTCCTGTGTACCTTACTTCCTTGCTCCGTATTGCGTCCTGCAGTCTTTCATGCAATGCACGCACGCTCGCAGCACACAAGCACGCTGCACCAAGCCATCTAGCATCGTCGATAGGACGACAGTTTTCTCACCTTGCTCGGTCCGGCTGGCCGCCTCAACGGGCCATGCTACTCCATAGTATCCATGTTCGCCATGGTCTGTCCGACCTATCTTTCTGACCGAGAAGAGGGGGAGCCCGGAGATGAGAGAAAAACCACCATACTCCGCAACACCAAAAATGGAGGACAAGCTCGTTTGTGTGCTTGTGTGTTCGTGTGTGTTTGTGTGTGTCTTCGGGACTCGGAAGATAGGAAAGGAGCTTGTCTGTCCTGCTGTCTACACAACGCCCATCACGTGTATTGACGGGATTTTACCTTGACGAGGTTGAACAAGGCCGGCTTGTCACGATCCTTGCTAGCCTGCTAGCCTGCTAGCTACCACGATTCCTGCCAACCCAGGATGTCCGAAAAGATGCAACCAACCGTGGTCGAGGAAGAGGTGCGGTGCAAGCAACGCGTTTGCGCCGTTGTAACGTCCTCGCAGCGAAAGATGACCGAGCACCCGGGCTCCCAGGCAATGAAGACATTTCCCCGCCATTACCAAGAACTTCAGCTTCATTATATCTCTCGGGATACCTTCACTAGAGGGCTTATCACATTCTCTTATAGCCATTTCCTGATCCCAGCCTCCTCATGCATCAGAACATCTCGTTACCCCTCACTCAGCTTTCATGGCCGGCATGGGTGCTCGGTTGGGGTCTCAGCTCATGATATTGACTGAGGTTTTCTTCCCAAGACCTGTTGTGATACCTCGTGGTTGCCTTTTCTTATCCAGGTCTCACCGTCTCTCTGACGAGGGAGGATGACGAAGTCCTTCAAGACAACTGTATCACATGCCTTCGGCCTCACTCATCATCTTCCTCACGCAAATCATCATGTACTACCAACCTCTAACAAACATCACAGAAGGCAGACTGTTATTTTGAGCTGAACCAAGGATTTCATTGCAGCTATCACCATGTATCCAAACAAAACCCTCTCCCTTCCGCTTCAACTCCAATCCCCACGACCATGATCACTATCCAAAACCCCTTTCAAATCCAAACACCATCCACCTCCACCCGATAAACCCTCATCCATGATCAAGATCAAGATCAAGCAAGCTGACGTCTCTCAGTCTTCACACAACTACGCGTGTGCCCCCTAATTCCCGTTCCCGTTGCCAGACTTCTGAACAAAGAACTTATTGAACTTATTAAAGTTCTCCGGCGTCACTTGAATAGTAATATTGGGGTTATACACATTCAAGTTCTTGATCATGCCGTTGCCGGCATTCTTGCCCTTTACGTTGGCACCACTAAGACCACCGCCCAACAAATGTCCCAGGGCTTGACTGTCAGTCTGATTCTGGGTCTGGGTCTGGTCATGGCCGTTCGGTCCGTTGCTGTTGCTGAAGATGGAGAGCTGGGTTTCGGTGGCGGTGTTTCGGTTCTGCTTCTGCCCGTCGTTGCCGCCGGGAGGACCGGAAGGGAAGATGTTGCAATAGCCCTTGGAAGTTTTCTGGCAGGAACACTGCCGCTGAGCACGTCCCTTTTCCCTGGAGCTTAGGAGTACGGGAGGAGGAGCAGGAGGAGCGCCGAAGGAACACTGAGGTTGCTGAGAAGAAGAAGAAGAAGAAGGACCGAAGAGAGAAGACATGGAAGACATGGAAAACGGGTCAGTAACCTGGGACTGACAGACGGAGGCGGATGCAGAGGCCAAGGAGGAGGATTGATCCCAACCATCGAGTCCCTCCTCATCCTCATCGTCCTCATCGTCTTCATCGTCCTCATCGTCCAACTCCTCAGTGTTAGAGTCGTAGCCATTGTCGTAAGTGTAACCGAAGCAAGAGTCGCAAGAGGACGTGGGACAGGACTCATGGGAGTAAGAGTCGCTGTAGCTGCTTCCGCGCGGGGCGGGTGCGTTCATGTTGATGGGAGGGAAAGTACGTCTCGCTGTCTGCTTCATCTCTTAGATGGTGGTGTGATTGGTAAATTGTGTTGTGTTGGTTGGGCGCGTTTGGCTGTTGGTCTGGGTTCTTGAATGATGGGAGTCTGCAGAGTGGTGAGTTGAGAGCTGGCCTTGGGTTGTGGGGAAGAGGCAGAGTTGGCGGATATTTGGGAGCTCTTATATCTGTCGCTTCTTAACATTTGAGGTGGGACTGATAATATCCAAGACAAAATGAAGAGAAGACTCTCAGACACGCATGGAGAACATCTTGATTGTTCTGTATGTCTTCCGGAAGATACAGGAAGCGATACCATCACTCATATGTCTGGTTTATGGGCAATCCTGCGAATAATTTTTGTTGTTTATAAGAAATGATGGATATCTCAGTCAGTTTTCCTTCCGCATGACTGACGTATCTATCGCCACTTTACGTAGGGTTGGTTGGTTTTGAGACATCAGGGTGCTGCCAAACGGGAAAACAAATAAGAACAAGGCTTTGTGCCAGACATCAAACGAAAAGCTCAATCACAAAGGAAGGAACCTCGCGATATAATGAAAAGCACCCACATCTAGATGGGCTTGGCAACTTTCAATCCAATGCCTCTTCGCTGGATTGACATGGGCAGGGACGACTTACATTTCGCGGTATTCATCTTGTCTTGTCAGGCAAGTGCCAACTTTCCAGGCGCCCAAGGAAGGATCGACTGACATGGGCGGCATGTGAAATTAAATTTTCTAACTGTCCCTTCAGCTTGAACCGGCATTTTGGTTTTTTTTACAACCTTACCTCACATCCAGGGGTTGTGCTGATGGGCTGGCGGGTGGATGAAAGTGTAGTCGGGTCAGGCGACTGTTTCTTAGGATGGATGGGAGTAGAACGAGAAACTGATGGATGCAATCGATAAGTTGATGAATTCTGTGACTGAAGATACCAACTGCGTCTGTTTCTAGCATACTTCGATTCCATAGACGCTACAACTCCCTCATGACCTCCTCAACAGCCTTCAACGCCAACTTTTTCCTCTGCTCCTCCGGTACTGTGCCGCTCATGTCCCTAACCGCTTGCAGCTTGAGCATCATCTTGGCAATCCTCTCCACATCTTCCTCTCCTATCACATCTTCCTCGTCATCCCCATTCTTCTCCTCTTCCTTCTCCACCTTGTCTGCCGCCCCAGACCCAGACCCAGCACTCGGTCCAGCCTTTGCTGCGTCAGCGGCAGCAGCAGACTCCCCCTTCTTGCCCTCCCCCTTCTTCTTCGCCTCCTGCACCTCCTCCTCAAGTGACTTCCAAAACCCTTCTCTCGCCTGCTTCTTCATCTTCGCGTCCCACTCACTCCCTATCGACCCATCTATCGTCTGCGTCACACTCCTAAATGCCTTCAACTCTTCTTCCGTCGTCCGATTCGATTCCTCAGTCCCCTTCCAAAACGCCTTCCGCATCTCCATCTTCTGCTTCTTGGTGTACCCAAAGCCAAGATCAAACTCATCCTCCGTATCCCAGTTGTTCTCGTCAATGTAGTCGGCATCTTCGTCTTCAGACTCGTCGAACGGCCCACGATTGTTGTTGTCCCCCTCCGTAGACCCGGTCCCGTCTCCGCCTGACCAGTCATTAGACTGCAGCGCCTCGAGCGCTCGCGCGATGCCCATCTTTTCGCCGTACTCGTTTCTCTTGTCGTTGTTATCCACCGCCTCCTTCTTCCCCTTTCCTTTCAGAGCGGTATCAGGCACAACCCGACGATGATGAACAAACTCCAACCCCCACTCCGCACACAAATCATCCCACTCATTGATCTCCTCCTCCATGTCGTCGTCGGCATCCATTTCATCTCCACCACCAACCTTGCCCCCAACCGTAGTAGTAACACCAACAGCCAACGCAACCCCTTCCCACTCCCACCCGCCCAAACCCTCCCTAACCACCTTTCCTACCCCCTCGATCAACTCCCTCGTCTTTTCATTTTGGCTTTCATAGACTGCCTTCTCAGACTTGGAAGAAGGAACCTCAAAAACACAAACAACACCACCAAGCACCCCCAGCACCTCCTTCGCCTCCTCGCTCAGAAAGCTCGCTGACCAGTCGGCGGGGGAAGATATCAGGTCGAGCCAGATGGGGATTTGGGCGGTGTAGTAGGGCGTGGAGAGGGGGAGGGGGTGGGTTGTTCCTGCTAGGGAGGGTTCCGTCGTGTGTTCTGATGCATCTTCTTCTTGTGAGGGTGGTTGTTGTTGGGGGGTGGGTGCGGTGCCGGTTAGGTCTGTTTTTTGTTAGTTTGTGGGGGTTTTGGGAAGGGAGGAAGGTGAAGAAGAGAGATATGACATGACATACCTCTGATAACAGCACCGAGATGGTCTGAGGAGTCGGTGAGGGCAACCGCTAGGATTCGGCGCGGGTTGGTGATTTCTTCCGCTTTGGTGGATGTCATTTTGAGATATTTCCTCTAAAGAGAAAAGTTTGATGTTTTGCTGAAATGAGGGGTTCCGAGAAAGGAAGTCGTCAAGCAGAGTAGTGAGAGATGAACATGGGATGATAGTGACGCCTGCCCAACCGTTGAGCGTGACGCCACAGTGAGTGGAACGGGGACCTAACAGGTAGCTGGGAGCTGAGGTAGGAAAAGTGGAACCTCTGTGGCTTGATATGTGGCGCATATCATTCACCTGAGGAGAAAATAGGGATGTGATTCACAAAGTCATAAAACTTGCGATATTGATCAAGTGTTTGGGCATTTACAGTAATTTGGCTGGCTAGGGGGCTACGCTATAAATTCGGGGCGTTCGTTTTCGGGATACAGGTATTGCAGGGGAAGCACATCCAGCATTGCAGACATGCTTGAATCTCTTCAAAAACCGAAACCCGAAGGCATTCAAGTTGAGTCGATGTAATTGTCATTTGTTGGAGCCGACAGATTCCGCTGTAGACTGCTGGATCCCGAAAACGAACGACACCAAATACCAGGTCATACTGCACATGCAATACTGCACATACAAGGCCATACCGACAGAGTTCGGGCACCACCAACACCACTCAGACTTGCACTGATCCAGTTGGAGTCTTCAACAATCATATTCCTAGTTCTGATCTATGTATATACACCATCCATACCCGCTGTCGATGATGTCTATCATCTCAAAGCAAAATGTGTTAAACACCAAATGAAAAAAGATGCGCTTCTTCTTTTCCTCCATCATCATGAGACCGGAACCAACCCAGAAAAAACACACTCCTCCCATTTCCCGAGTTTCCCATCATCCATCCGTTCGCATATACGCTTGGGCTCATATTCCATAATCCATCACGGTCATTTCATAACATGACATAATCCCATTTTGTAGTTCCCCCCCTCGTTTCATCTCATTTCATCCGTCTCTTTTCCTTTCATCTTCCCCCAAAACTTTTCTTAGTTCTCACCATCCTTCTTTCCCTCATCCCCATTCCCGCTTCCCTCAGCAGTGGTAGTTGTACTCTGCTCATCATCCCCATCAACATCAACAAGCTGCTTGGTCTTGTACGCCTTCTGGGCGATCTTGGCAAGCGTGTCGTAGTCGCCGCTCATGTCGCACATACTCCTGAAGCTTCCATCGGTCTTCTTCATCAGCTCCCAAGGATGTCCGTACTCGACGATCTCGCCCTTGTCCAGCACGAGAACCTTGTCGTAGTCGGCAATGGTCTGCAGACGGTGAGCAATAGTGATGATGGTGCTGGTCAGCTCGCGGATGGTCTCCTGGATGGCGGCATCGGTGGCGTAATCAATCGAGGCGGTGGCCTCGTCCATGACAAGAACGGTGGGCTTCTTGAGCATGGCGCGTGCCAAGCAAAGAAGCTGACGCTGACCCTGCGAGAGGTTGTTGCCGGACTCGGTGACGGGAGAGGAGAGGTCGAGGAAGATGTTCTTGTTGGTAGCGGTGGCGGGGCGAGAAGGCTCCGACTCGCTCTCAGGAGCAACGGGGGTCTGGGGAAGAAGGGCGGTGCTGACGGCGCCGGGGATGACCTCATCAGCCTTGATCAGGTGCACGCGGCGAAGAGCGGCAAAGATCTCCTCATCAGTGTACATGTTGAAGGGGTCGAGGTTGGTCCGGATGGTACCCATGAAGAGGGTAGGCTCCTGGGGAACGATGGTGATACGCTCGCGGAGATCACGGAGACCAATCAGACCAATATCAACACCGTCGATCAAGATCTTGCCCTCATCCGCCTCCAGCGCACGGAAGATTGCCAAAGTAAGAGAACTCTTTCCGGCACCAGTGCGGCCCACAATACCAACCTTCTCGTGGGCTTCAATCTTGAAGGTAAGGTTGCGGAGCACGGGCTCCAACTCAGCCCTATAACGTGTAGTGTAGTTGATGAACTCAACAGAGCCGTGGGCGGGCCAGTTCGCAGGCGGGCGGTTGTCCTCAACGATAGCAGCGGCCTCTTGCTCAACGTCAAGGTACTCCTTGATACGCTCAACAGAGTTCATGTTCTGTTCGTTCATCGCATAAAGACGAACCAGCCAAAGGATGTTGTCGGCAAAACCGATGGCATAGCTGAGGGAGATACCCGCAGAACCAGGATCGATCTTGCCGAGACTGAGAATGACGAAGACTCCAGCAGCGAAGGCAACGAGATCACCAAGAACATCAGTCCTGAAAGCGAGCCATCTGTTGGCAGCCCAAAGATAGATGAATGGGCGGATCTGGGCGTTGATCTTGGCAAGGTTGTCCCGAATGAAACGTCTCTCATCACCATACGCTCTGATGGTGACAACACCGCTCAAAGTCTCTCCGAATTGCTGGAAGAGAGGGCTGCGCTGCACGGACTCCAAGCGCTTCAGGTCGCGCGAGGCATGGAGATAGAAGGCACCAAGGAAGACGTAGAGGATGGTGATGAAGAAACCGGCAATCAAGAAACCGGGGGTAACCCAGGCAATCAGAGTAACAGTGACGACAATTGCGAGGACACAACTCATGACCCCAATAGCAATAGGCGCAACCTCCTGATCAATAGCCTCCAAGTCCTTGCTGAATCTGTTCATGATCTGTCCAAGAGGGGTGACATCAAAGAACTGGAAACGGGCACCAGCGATGGCACGCATCAGACGCTTGTGGAGCTTCCATGAGGCAGTCAAGGAACCGAAGAAGATCCACATGTCCCTGACGAGAGCGGCAACTGCACCACCGATACCAATGATGGCTAGGACGGTCAAGTAGTAACCGACGTTGACATCATTGTTCGAGGTAGCCGAGAAAGTGTTGCTGTCGTTACCCTTGATGTACGTGGCGATCGAAGCAAAGTAGGTAGGTGAGACGGTCTGGCTGGAATAGCTCTGCGAGTTCACGTTGAAGGTGGGGGCAACAACCTCGTCCGTAGCGTATTGGTTAGCCCACTCCCTGATCCAAAGACTGGTGGCGACACCAGAGAACTGCTGAGCGCCAAAGACAACCAGGGCCAAAACCCAGAACCACCATTTGCCCATAGCGGTGAGGTAGAGTTTCATGACGGGCCACTTGACGGCACCAGTAGCCTTGCTTTCTTCCATAGCATCCTGTTTCTTGTGCTCCTTCTTGATCGTCTGGGCCTTAGTCTGAGATTCACTGCCGTCGGCTTCGTTGATCATGGTGTGTTCACCTTCCTCGCCGACACTAGACGGAACTCGGGAAGGAACACGCGAGACGTGAGCAGAGCCGGAACGGGACTTTTGGACAAAGTCCTCACCGAACTTGCCGGCCGCAATGAGCTCCTGAGGAGCGCCCTGAGCAGTAACACGACCATTGGTCATCTGGACAACGAAGTCGGAGAAAGGAACGCAGAGAGGGATGTTGTGAGAGACGAGGATGCAAGTGCGGTGCTTCATCAAAGGACCCATGATGCAGTTGCTGAAGATCCACTGAGCGGTGTGAGAATCGACGGCGCTGAGACAGTCATCCATGAGAAGATGCTTAGAGTTGGAGTAGACGGCACGAGCCAGCGAAATGCGCTGCTTCTGGCCACCGGAGAGGGTAATGCCCTTCTCACCAACCAAAGTCTCATCGCCGTTATCAAGAATTTCCAGATCACGCTCCAGAGCGCAAGCGACAATGACGTCCTTGTATCTCTGCTCATCAAACGGTGCACTAAACAGAATGTTGTCCTTGATGGAGCCATTGACAAGCCAGGCTTGCTGGGCAACATAGGCGCAAGTGTCGGCAAGACCAGTTTCGGGGTCGGGGCGGACATCCTCACGGCTGCGACCTCCGGGACAGAAGACACGACCCTTGAGAATGGTCATCTCACCAAGCAAAGCCATAAGCATAGAGGTCTTTCCGGATCCGGTGGGGCCAGTGATGACGTTGAGCTTGCCCTCCTGGAACTCGACATCAAGGTCAAGAAGACGGAAAGCCATGCTTCCATCCTCAGCAACAGTGTTCCTGCCGCCCCAGATGAAGCTGGCGCTTCTGAAACCAATGACCTTGTTGCCGTTCTCGTCAATGTTGTCCGGGCCAAGCTGCTTTTGCTTCTCAGTCTCCTCCTCAGACAAGAACTCCTCGATGCGGTCCACGGACACCTTGGACTCCTGGACGTGGGCAATCATGTCTCCGAGTTGGTCAAGCGGATAGCGGAGCAGCATAAACAGAGAAATGGCGGTGAAGGCGATAGAGGGATACAACGGCTTCTTCTCAATAACGGTGAAGACGAAGAAGGTGAAGAAAGTGATGAGGATAGGAACCGTGTTCCAGACAGCCACGGCGCAAGCCCAGACCATGTACCGGGTGCGCAGGGCCTTGAGCTCCGCCCGCCTCTTCTCGTCAACAATGGTTTCGAACCTGTGCTCCCAAGCGAAGTACTTGATGATCCGGATGTTTTGGAGGACTTCGTTAGTGGTGTGGATGCGCTTGTCAGTAGCCGACATGATCTTCTTCTGCGTATACTGGAAAGTCTTGGCGAAGCCAATGTTGACAGGAAGGAGCAGAGCCATGATGATGAAACCGGGGATGGCACTGTAGCCCATGACGTTGTAAAGCAGGATAACGGCTACAAGCAGCTGTGTAGGAGCCGAGGCAATGAGGAAATGGAGGTAGCTAGTGACCTCAGAGACCTTGAAGCTGTCGACGGACATCAAGGTGGTGATGGTTCCCAGATTGGCCTGCTCATCAGCCTCGGCGGCCTTATCCTTGGCCTTCGTAACAGCAGCCTCAGCTGCAGACTGATCATTGGCCTTCTTGTCATCCTTCGCAAGACCCAAAGCGCGCTTGAGCTTTGCGCAGAAACCCTTCTTGGCGGGAGCTTCATCCTTCTTGTCTTCGCCGAGAACCTTGTCGTTACCGGCGGCGGCCTTTCTCCTAAGCGCCTTTGCGTAAATCTCACCGACAAGGATAGCACGGATGTTGATGCAAATCTTGCGACCAATCCAAAGCGCCTGAGCGTCTCCAACAGAGCGGACAACATCAGTGATGGGGAGAAGGATCACATAGAGCCACAAGACGTTGCGGGGAGCCTGTGTCGGGTCCTCAATATATTCGAGGATAGCCTTGAGCAGCAGGGTGGGCGCAAAGGTGAAGGCGCCCGACATGACAGCCCAGGCAGCCTGCGCAGCAACCATACCCTTGAAGTAGCTCAAGAGGTGGTAAGCCAGGGAAGTGGTCTTCTTGACCTGGCGGTAGTTGGCCAGAACGGTGGCGGCTTTGTCACTAGGAAGCAAATTCCAGACCCGGTCGGCAGTCAACGGCTCCTTCCAGCCTTCCCACATGATGGAGTCAACCCAGCCGAAAGTGAAGTGGGAGAAGAGAGAGGCCAAGTTCTCGCGACTGGGCTGGATACCGTCCTCCCACTCCAGAATGACTGTTTTATTTCCTCTGCGTGTGCTGATCGACATGAAGAAGAGGAGCGAGGTCAGGGCGAAGTCGACGATGGCCAAAATCTGCCTGAGCTGGGTCGCAGGATGGACAATGGCCGAGCGGAAGCCAATGAGCGAAAACAGCCACTGGGCACAGTAGATGGCAGCCGTGTGGTTCCAGAGGTGCGGTACGCGCGTGTTTCCGAGGAAGAGACGCAGCGCAGCAAGAATCAGAACGTAGGTCCAGGCGCCGAGACCAGCAATGGCGGCGATCTTGCCATGGCGACCGCTGTAGGCTTCGAGAACCAATGCGACAACATTGACACCGACCAGACCGGCGATGGCGAGGACTTCGATGACGGTAAGGAGAGTTTGACCGGCAGGAGTATCAGCCTGCACGATGGAGCCCTTGGTGGTAACCTTGGCCAGCGCAAGGCGGCCGCCGCCAATAGCTAGCGCCTCATCTTCGTCACTTTCGTCGGCAGGTTCTTCGTCTCTGGGCAGGTGGGTGCGGTCTTGCTCGTTATCGGCGACGCGATCGTACCCGCGGTTCGGTTTTAGCTTGGCAGCTCGGAGGAGACCTGAGACGAGGAGTCGAAGTACGGACAGTCCTACGACAATCAATGGTAGGAGGATCTTGAGGTAACTGTGGAAACAAGGTTTGTCAGATCTGATAAGCGCAAAGCTGGCGATGGTAGGTGTCGGACATACTCTTCCTGGAAGCATGGCGTGAAGTCGTCAGTCCGCCATATCGGCCACCCGCACTGAGCGAAACCCATTTCGCGCGCTCAGCAGCGCCTTGGTGGCGGGCGAGCTGGAGACAGATGGAGTGTGTTGTCGATGACCGAGGCGTTGGTGATGTCTCGGGAAAGCGGGTGAAACAGTCGAAAGGTCTAAGGATGCGGCGAGGGAAGACCGACTTCCTCGAGAGCTGACGAATTTTCCGGACTCGGTCGACTTTAAGTTGGATAAGATGGATGATGGCCTTGGCTGGGATTGCGCCGTGCTAAAGTTGCCTGCCGTTCCCCGCTGTGGAGGATGATGATTCACGGTCCACACCACGTCCGGCCAGCTGGATTCGGAATTGGGAGATGGGGTTCAGTGGTCAGCGCACCTGCTGCAACACTGGGGGTTGCACTGTTGTTGGTACGCCGGTGGGGTCGATTTGACACCTCTTTTGTGTTTTTGGACTTTTTAGCCTTGATAGTGGGGCCACCTAGAGTCCTTAGACCTGCCAGTTGTCAATTCAAAGACTTTTTGACAAGCGTCTTATCAACTGGAATCAACAAGCGGTCGGAGATCAATCTTTATTTCCATCTCGGACTGACTCACAATATCGTCTGTTTCTTGTGGTCTCGGACTGTTCATCCACTGTTTCGGGCTTGATTTGCCGAGTCACAAGAACATGACTGAAGGAAGGTATGTAAGACGGCAAGGCCCGAACGGGAAGGTCCCATCAAGATGGCTGTTTTATAGATATAAACTCGTCGTGTTGGCCACATCACAGCTCCTGTTGGCTTCGAGCCTCGTCATCATCATCACCGTTTCTTTGATGCCTATCACTAACACGTTACGAAGGCCTCATGCTCCAGGATTTCCATCGTGATTGTCTCCCACTGTTGCGGTTTCTTATCGCTTTCCGTCCCGCATTAGATCGGTCCTAATTGTGATTGGACCAGGCCCTTAATTGAACCTCCAGCCTCCTCCGCATTTGGTGCTTCGTCTCCAATCCGGGCCCACGGAAGCTGGACAACTGGGGAAACTTCGTGGGTTTGGGAATTGGAAATTGGCGGGTGGGAAGCACGAGCCTCTCTCCTACCTATGGCGTTTCCTGTCAATGATGTCAGTTTGGATGATTAAATCGAAGAAAGTCATTGTCTGCAACTTTTTTTTGGGATGACATGGAATAATTCCAGCCGATCAGGTTGCGCAAAACACATCTGTCCCACGGAAAAAGGTCGTTCTACAGACACAAATCTCATCAAAAGGGACACAAGAAGACACAAGGGAAGGGGGAAGGGATAACAAGTGACAAAACACAGAAACAAGGGTCCTTGTGTTCTGCGATGCACAACGGGTACGTATCCCAACAATCTCCACACCGCACCTCCGCCGTTTCGCAACATCGCAATTATCATGACCACCTTGAATTGTCGGACCTGGAGTTCTGAGCCATCTGCAATCTTCTAAATCCAACTTTCAATGCCACCCTTCAATTGACAGTTCAATCGCTTCAGCTTCAGCTCCAGCTCATTCGGGGTCCATCTCCAACTCCAACCTTTGCACATTCCCTTTTCTGTCAGGGCCCGAACGGTTACAACGACTGCTACGTACCTCACTGTACCTCGCATTCTGTACTGTGTTCAGTAGGTAGCGCCGGCTGGCTTGCTGCACGCGACCTTGGTGCTTCCTTGGTGCTTGGGGAAATTCTTGGGAGTTGGAGAGGCTCCCCCTCACATCCCTCGATTAGAACTTTACCAATCTAAAGTCACTAACAGATATCCCTTCAATCCCAACCAAAGTCTGTTAGTGCCAGACCAACGTCCCGTCCATTACACATCCGACCCACCTGCTCGGTCTCGACATCCGTTACCCGTCACCCGCACGTTTTTAATCTTGCTGACCTTCCTCTTTCATCCAACCTGGAACGGACATTATTCAGCCCCAGAGTCCAGACGAGAGATTGCAGTTATGACTCTTTCCAAGTCTGCATGGTTCATTCATGTGTGTAGGGTGGTCGTTCTGGAACTCACATCAACCAACTGGCAAACTCATCAGGTCTGCAAGATTCCAACCAGTAACTTCCTTCACCTCTGTTGATATCATCGGATGGTTATATATAGGTGGTTATATAAGTCGTTTCTGCTCCTGTAATGAATGAATGCTTGCGGCGGTCATCATCACAGCACCACCACCACCACCACCACCAACCAGCCGTTTACCGCTCTGCTTATGCATATACATGATCCTACGTGCCCAGTGATGCCCTGTATCATGTCAGGGATTGTTTACGGTTGACATATAAAAAAAACAAAGGGCGTATGTGTGTTATGACTCACTTTATCTCTACATACAACCCTTCTTCTTCTCTCCAACCTCCATATGTAATCCGTTAATGAAGAGTTGAAGAACTGTAAACGAAGAGTCGGGGTAGCACCGGCAGGAACATCACGAGGCCTGGTAGACACAGAGTACCAATTGATAATATCTCCGAAGTAACGTCGCTCTGCCAGTCATATCTCATTGGACTCGACCTTGGTGTGTTTTCGGATTTGGAGATCTCGTCACACTACTTAGGTAACCATCTCAATGCTGTATAATAGAAGTCTGTGCTGACGAGTGGTAACACGAACAGACAACATTTTCGGCATAGGATGGAGCATTGACTAAGTATAAAAAAAGAGATGAAAATTATCTATATACGTGTGGTGAGGTATGTATCCAAGAGAGCCTCAAGGTCCAACTAGGCAAATACAAGTAAAAGTCCCCAATAACGCCGCTTTTGTTGTCTGTCTGTCTGTCAACTCAACAGAAGACAGACATGCAGACGCCTTCGATCGTCAAAATAAATGCAGGATAAGTGTGCAATAGGTATAGTGTGTGTGCTCTTTCCAACAAAAAGAAAGCCATCAAGGGAAAATGTCCCTCAAGTCATCCACAGCCATCTCGTCTCGTTTTCTCGTCCATCAGTCATTCATAACCCATAAGGCCTCCTTCTTCTTCTTCTGCTTCCCCCCCTCCCTCATCAAGCATGCTCATACAATGGCGTAGTCACCGTAGTAACGTGTTATGTTATTCCTCATATCATGGTTCATCTCACTTCACCAATTTCACCATCTTCTTCCACCTCAAAAGCTCCTCACAGCAACTGCCTCGTCACCGGTGGCTGTCCCTCATCCTGATTAACTGTCGTCCCCGTCAACTGCCTCTCCACTGCACCACCTTCTCCCGCTTCCCCTGTTCCTCCAATACCAGTGCCCGCCGCCTCAGCCGTTGTTGACAATACAGGAGAATGCATCTCCGGCATCTCGATCGGGCTCGTGACGAAATAAGGCTCTCCACCCTCCACCGCCGACCCACTCGCAATCGGCGTATTGGCACTCCCCTCCCCAAGGAACCTCGTGCTCACAGCCACGTCCATGCTCGTCCGCAACGCCGACTTCCTAGGAGTCTTCCCCTTCATGCTTCCCTTCGCCTCCTCCGCCTTCTTGCTCTTAGGTCTGACAACATCCTCGACCGGATCCTCCAGCTCCTCCGCGGGGGAGTCAAAGTTGGGACGCGCGTAAGCATGGCTGGGACGACCTTCGGGCATCAGAGGCCTGCTGCTGCTGCTTCCGACGGCGGCGGGGGTCATGCCGGTGCCGATAATCTCGCCGTAGCTGTTCTTGTGCCTCAGACTACCAGCCTCCGCTGCTGCGGCATCCGCAGCGGGCAGACCGGCCTCTCCGCGCTCGGCGGCATGTTCTTTCATGACGTCCAGGACACCCTCGATGTGCTCGATCTCCTTCATCAGATCTTGATCGGTAGGCCACAGGGATCTGCGCACCGTGCTGATAGCCCCTTCAAAGATAATAAGGGCAGACAGCGTGATGATGCAGACGACCCACCAGGGAGCGTGTTGGCCGAAACCCTTGATGAAAGCATCTCTGACAAGATACGGACTCATCTTGGCCGAGAAGATGCCGCTGAGGAAGAGGTTCCAAAGGAACCAGCCAAAGACAGAGATGAAAAGACCGGCGAAAGTGATGGCGATACGGTTGTGCAACTCGAGGACGAGCATCTTGATGTTGATGAAAATGACGCAGATAGTAAAGGCCAGGGTGCCGACGGGATATAGAGCGGTGTTCTCGGGCGGAAGGGTGATACCGTAGACGAACCAGACGATAGTGAAGATTAGCACTGACTCTGACACGGCCATGAACATCCAACCGACGTATAGCTTAACGTTGAAGGCTTTCTCCTTTTGACCATATGTGTACAACTCGGGGACAGCCATCAGCGTGTCGGCTTCGAGATCTTTCTCAAAGATACCAAAGAGAATAACCGGGAGCGAGGTAAACAGGGTGTTGAAGACAGTCAAACTGGTAGACTCGAACAAAGAAGTACCCGTATAGCCGTTGTAGCGCTGGAACTGCGCCTGCACCAGGTAGAAGACAATTTCCTTCCAGAAGGTACCAAGGATGTACTTGCCAGTCCTGATGTAGTTCCAGCGACCGTGAACGAAGAGTAAGCGTTGCAAAAACCGGAACTGAGCGATGGCGTAATCCGAGATACGAGCAGCCTGGAGGCCTTCTCTTCCGGAAATACCGATACCCACGTGGGAAGCCTGGATCATGGCAATGTCGTTGGCACCATCACCAATGGCAAGAGTGACAGCCTTGGGAACTTGGTGACGGATACTCTGGACAAGGGTGGCCTTCTGCGATGGGGATGCGCGACAGCAGATGACCGAGTCGACTCTAACAACAAGGTCAAAGAAGAGAACTTGAAGGGACTCATCCTCCTCCACGACGCTCAGAGTATGACCATCAATAACAACAACCGAGTGAGGAACCATGCCACGACCGACATCTATGAGTGTCGAGGCAAGTCTCTCCTGAAGATCGCCTTGGGTCGCGTCCAGGATGTAGACCTCCGAAAAGGGCTTGCAAATCCTGGCCGAGTGGGCGATGTTGATGGCAGTCTCACGCTTGTCACCCGTAAGCATCCAGATCTTGATGTTGGCACGGCGGAACTTGTCGATGGTCTCGGGTACACCGTGCTGTAGCTTATCCTCAATGGCAGTCGCTCCAGCAAGGTCGAAGTTCTGTTCGATGATCTCAGCGGCGGCCTCAATGCGTTCTTGGCGGTTAACCAGGCTAGTAGTGGCTTCGTGATAGATCGTCTTCCACTTCTTGTACTCCTCGCCATCCAAATAGCGGTAGGCAAAGACAAGGGTTCGCAGACCTTCAGAGGCGAAGTCATCAATGTGCTTAAAGCAGCGTTCGAAAACGGCGGCGTCGTTCAAAGCCAAATGCTCGTCGACCATGCCATCAAGAGGGTCGTGCGGACGACCAACTTCAAAGGACCGGCCACGCTGCATCGAGCGACGCGGGGGTGGGTTAGAATCATCGAACTCATCAGTCTCACGACGAACCAGCCAAGAATCAACCTCATCCGTAAAGAAAGTAGACCGGCGCTGACTGCCCTTACGCGAAACCCTCCGATGATCCATCGAAGCACGGGAAGCCCGAACAAGATTCATGCTGTCACGCTTAATGCTGTGAAGACTGAGCCGACGGAGAGCCTTCTCCTGCTCCATACTCTTGCGCATGCTAGCCATCCGCCCGATCTTACTAGCGGTCTGCATGGCCAGATTGCTCTGCTTGAGACGAGGCAGAATCATGCTGTCAGCACCCTTGGTAAAGATACAGGTGGATCCGTCCGGCATGCGAATGACGATGGACATGCGTTTCCGCTTGCTACTGAATTCAATAACGTCGAGAACCTCGTATGTTTCGGTAACAGGGTTGCCGTCCGCATCGCGAGTTTGAAGCTTGATAGCTTGCGCGGGACGATCGATAACCAGGTAGCCCAAGTCCCTAGCTCCTTCTACCAATGCCAACTCATCAGGAGACGCCGCCTGGAAAGTCATTTCGCCATCCTCCTTGGTCTCGGGGAGACAGGTGTGGCAAAGCGCAATACAGAGGATGAAGTGCTTAGCGGTCCGGGAGAAGGGTGTGTTAGGCCTCTGCTGAAGATAGCGGATCAAGTCCTCAGTATTCGGTTCCGGCTGCCCATGCTTCACACCAGCGCTCGAGTGCCACACAGCTTGGTTGGCGACAATAGGCTCGTTGCTCGACTCTTCCGCCAGCGGTTCCAAGGCGGCCTCGACATTAGATGGCCGGGGTTTCGCTGAGATCGAAAGGCTCCGTTTCGGCAGATCCTGGGCGAGTTGCTTTTGCTTTGCATTCTCTGCTTCTCTCCGTAAATCCAAGTCATGAAGAAAGGCTGCTCCTCCCACACTGATCTTCCGGAACCTCATCAGATTCTCTGTCAGAGTACCCGTTTTGTCCGAAAACACGTAGCTAACCTGGCCGAGATTTTCCAAAATTGTCGTAGTGTTGGCGCTCATTGCCGTGTCTGTTTTAGGATCATACATCTCGACGTCCGCAAGTAAGTAAAGCTGTCCGAGCTTGACGATTTCAAGACTGACATAGAGGGACAGGGGGATCAGAGTGTTGAAAGCGATGATGAAGCCGATCACAATCTCCTTGATGGGAACCTTTTGCTGGATGAGATACCAAGCCTTCTTTTCGTTGCTGCGATGCCACATGGTATATCCACCTGTACACCCAACAGCAAGTGCAACGACGAAGGCCACGAGAAGCATGACAATCCGATTGACCATGAATTGCATCTCCGGGGCCTTGGTGCGGACGTTCTTGTGCGCATTCATCCGAATCTTGCACTCCTCGCCAGTGTTGACAACGATACCAATCGCTTGGGTGGTATTCCGTAGGGTTGATCCTCTGTACACGATCTGATTGGAGGTCAAGGGCATCGTCTCTCCGTTCTCTGTCACTCGGCCTTCGTAGTTGTAAAGGTCGAGGTTCGGGTCCTCGGAGACGACTGTAGCATCGCAGTGGGCCATGGCGTTGATAGAGGAGCAATGGTCAAGCAACAAAGGACAAGCCTGTTTGCTCTTGAGATTCGTCTCACCATCCAGCGCCATAGTTTCGATAAATGCAACTCCGTTCGGGCCAGTGGCATGAAGAAGAACCATGTCGGCGGGGACGTTTTCGTCTCTCTGCAACTGAACGATGTCGCCGACTCTGATGTCCTGCCACTCGACTCGTGCCCAAGGCTCCCGTTCGCCTTCGCCTTCGCCCTGGTCAACTTCAGCTGTAGTCACCCTTTCCAAACCAGCTAGTTCCGTAGCAGCACCATCCTCAGTCGGCTTTTTGCCTTTGATCATTTCCATAAGCATCCTACGTTTCCTTCCCCGTACTCTCGTGCTGACGGTGCCATCGGGATCCAGCACGAACGCGGCACTCCTGTTCTCCAGTTTGTCGAGTCTGTATCGTCGGTAGTCGTCATAACCTTCTTTTGCCATGCTGATGCACACAAAGGCAATAAGCGGCGCTATCGTTGTGTATGTTCCGGTTGTACTGAGTCCAGGAACCATCTGTAGGATACCGATAACAAGGAAATAGAAGTTGGCGAGCTTGCTGAACTGGAAAAATAGTTGCTTCGGCAAAAAGTCGTAGAGGGTATATCTGCTGGAGCGGATAAAGTTTGAGACATAGGGCCGACCCGTCCGCTCATCGTTCAATGGTGTCTGCCGTACCAAACCGGGTTTCAGCGGTATGTGCCTTCCATCTTTACTTGGGGGTATCGGCCTTTGTCGCAAAAGGCCTTCAACGATGTATTTCTGGTAGGCATTCTCGGCCCTAGCTTGTATCCTTTTCAACGGATCGCTTGTTAACCTCTTTTGTCTCTCCTGCTGTCTGCTAATCCAGTCCTTGTAGGTGTCAAGAGTGATCTTGGTTTCCTCCTCTGTGGCCATAGCACTGTTGACATCGCCGTACGACTCATCATAACGTTGTCGCGGTAATGTTAACGATATACGAGACCGGGTACTGTTAGCTTCGCTGTGTCGTGGTTCCAAGCTTGGCCGGGCTGGTTTTGTTGGGATTGAAGACGAGGAGGAGGGGTCGGTATTAGAGTTGATTGTGTATAGTTGGGACAGATGTTGTAAACTCGGGCGTGACAGGCTGGGACGCCCAGACCTCGGGAGGTCGTCATCAGGAATATCGAGACTGAAACGCACGCGCGTGGCCGATGGCGAGGCTGGTGAGAGGGGGGAAGTTGGTGTTTCGGGAGCAAGGTGGGACGAATGCCTAGGAAGTCCGAGGCTTGGTCTCCCATGCGCCGCGGGATGTCGGCCGTCGGTTGATCGCCGTTGCCCAAGCTTCAGCGAGGGCGTCGAGGCTGGTAGGCGGCGCAATGCCGGGCGAGGGACTTGGACTTCATTCTGCTGCAGTTCGATGTTCTCAAGGCGGTCTCTGAGAGCCTCGGTGGGATCGGGCTGGCCTCGTCCGGCCATGGTGGAGGAAGCAGTTTGTCGCAACCCGTAAGCAAGTCGGTGTAAACGTATGCAAAACGGCGTATCGTCCCTTTTCTAACACCAGTCCGACATGTCCTCCCCCTTATATCGCACAATGACAATGGCGTATGTGATCGACTCCCTGCCAGGAAAAAAAGAAGCTTCTTTCGGGATTGTAGCGGTCTGGATAGTGATCTCTCTGGAGACGTTCAAAGCATTCTGGCGACCGAGTCCAGGGTCGGACGGGGGGGCGGTTGGTTCGTTGACGGAGTCTCGATGATCAGAGCCGGTTATGTAACTTGTAAGCCACCTCCGCATTAGCTGCGTTTTAGTGGAGTTTAGTGACGGAGTGCTGCTGCACTGGTGCTTCGGCGCCCGAGTCCGACAGGTTAAAAGAGTCTCGAAGGCAGACGGAAACTTTATCCACGCTTAGACCGCGGGGTATATCTGTCGTACTATGGTGTCGGGAAAAAAGTTAAATTAACGCCCCTCAGTTTCGAAGGCTCGTGGGGTTGTTTCGATGCAAATTCGCTCGCCGTCGCTTGGGTTTCTGTGTCGACCGGTAGGCGATATGCCAGGGTTCTCAACGCTCCCCCCGCTTGTCTTGGGGCCAAGGTGTCGCTGTCAGCCTGGACGAAGGACTACCTAGAGAGAAGTTGAGGCGATGGGTGGTTGTACGTAATTGAAAAGACTGAAGGGGGTATCTCAAAAGACGACGGGCAATGAATCCAAGATGCAGTATCCAAGGCACGGGCAGAGCAGGAAGGGAATGAAGAAAAGCGATTGACAATCTGAAAGAAGAGGTTGGGTGGTGACATGCATGTGGATTCAGTGATGCTCCGAGCCTGGAAACTTGGGGAGGAGTGGAAAGATCAAGCCACGCTTTCCCTTTTTGGGTCTGGTCTTGGCAAAAGGAGCGGGCCCCGACGTCCACCCGCACGCCGTCCGCTGTCCCACCGAGCCCACCGCTGCGGGACTCCCGGCCCGCAACTGCAAGGAAGCACTCAAGAGTTCAGCGCCGAAGACATCAAGCTCCCGACCGGGCAACCTATTCTTCTCTCCGCTATTCTTCCCACCTAGTGAGACTGCAAAAAGAAGTTGACGCGCATTGCGTGGTTTTAGTGAGTGTACTATGTACATCACCGCCTGAAGCTCAACTAGTGTACAGCCCCAACGCCAGGAACCTTGGCGGCCGGCCTCGGAACTGTTTCGCCGCTTTGCTTATTCGGGATAAACCTCCCGTGCCTCTCACCTTCTTCCGCCTATCACCATGGTCGCTCACGCGGCGCATATCACTCAGGAACGCCGCATTCGCACTCCATCTTTCAGGTCCGAGAGACAGGATTCGAGACAGACTTCCCGACCGTTGCGTGGCATGGCTGCAGAGCCGCATGGCTTTGAATGTTGTGTACGATGTTGTGAGGGCTATTTGAGGTCCATCATCCAGCTGGATCATGTTCATCTGCTGTGTACTGCGGGCTTTGTGCTTTGTTGGCAGTGTGTGGTGTGACACAGACATGACGAGGAAGTCACCCGTGAACTCGAGCCACGCCCACGGCCGAAGCTGTGCAAAGTCCATCTGACAAGTGGAAGGAAATAGTAACTACCCCAACATATGAGAAAGTAATATCAAGGATCAGAGCAAAAAACGGACATGAGACGAAAAGCATGTCAACGGTAAGAGAAGCTCAACATAAGATGAATCCAGGACCATCCCGCATTCCGCTCGCGTGATCAAAGATTAAACTCTAATCCCACGACATGTCCACTCCTGTTCCTGCAGATGATACTCCTCTTTTTCTTGATTAAGTTTGCACATGATGATATGGGTCACGGTACGTACACGCGGTACTAAGGTAGGTATCACGCCGTCCCGTTCCGAGGGGTCCGGTGCTCCCGCTCCCGCTTCCCGCTCCGAGGATCCCCGACTGGACGACTGAGTCTTGTCCAGAAACCCGGCCGGGCTGTCCCGTCTCCGTGCGCAAAAGACGAAGGGCGACGTGAAGTGTTTTGCCACGAAAGTAAGAACGGACGGGTTGGTTGGATCTGAGAAAGTTTTAATCTAACGCATTCACCTTACCCCACGTTTCGTTTCCATTTACCCCAGACTTTGGGAAATTGAATCCGGGGCCCGGGATGCTACTCTGTAATTTCTCTTCTCCAGACAATCAACAACATTAGACTGCCGTGACTGAGAGCTTAACATTGCGTATGCCCAGGCGTGTTCTTTTGACTGTTCTCATGTCGTCGGATTTATGCATCATATCGTTTCCTACCTTGAATCGAGGAAATATCGACAGAAAATGCCCCGACGTCGAGACTTGGCATTACAGAAGTTGTCTCTACAAGCGGGGTCTCTTTCACACTTTCTCAGTGGCACAAAGACGCATGTTAACTGATTTTACTCGACATTGACTATTTCTGTTATGCTCTCCATGCTAACTACCTCCATCACCAATACCGTAAACTAGATCTCTGCGCAATAGAGCAGAGACTGTTCCAATACTTCACCGCCCCCTGATTAGAACCAGAGTATCTGAGAAATAGTAGCCGCCTGGGCTTCTCCAGATCATCGCCTTTTAAACCTCCCCGCAGCCAGAACTTCATGGAGACACCTGATGCTTTTTACCGTCGACACTTTCCCCCGCCGTCCCGTCAAGAGAGAGGAGAAAACGGGAAACCCATGATAAAACGAAGAGCTATTACAAAACCCGAGGCCCCGGGGGATTCGCCAACAAAAGAGGAATTTATTACCCCGGGATATCGATAGACGAGTGACCGCCAAAAAGAGCAACGTAATAGAGAAACGAGAGGAGAACTTGAGCGATACTAAAAATGATCATAGTAGGGATAACGAGGATCGATGTGCCAGACACGCATGAAAAGACAAGGTATCGTCATGCAGATTTCGTGGCTGATGGATGAAATGGGACAAGAACAGAACATTTATAGGAGGGGTGTTCTTGGCAGTTTTTAGATCGGGAAAATGTGGTAGATATGTCGTCAAGCTTTTTCTTTCTGAAGCGACACATGGAGGCAACAGAGCGTCCTGGTATATACAACGAGATCCTCTAAACGCCAAAAGGAGTCGAACCGGGAGTATACTCTCCGGAGGGGTATTATAAAGAATAAGAGTCATGAACCATCGGTGGCTTATAACCTATCGCAACACAAAGCCGTGCTGCGAGGCAGACAAGGAAAAACATTTTGATTCACCCGCTCACTGTGTATGGTGAATGCTTTCAGGAGACAGGGAAGCGGGATCAACGTCAAAGTGTTTGAGATCCATGTACTGGTTCAGCTCCATTTCTGCTTGGTTCGGCTCGGCAAATGGCGAGTGAGGGTGCATCGGAAGTGTGTAGCTGTGCTTTCCAGGCTGGTACATATCATGGTTGGAACCATCATCCGAAATCGCAGAGCCTTCGCAAATGGGAGGCATAGACATCGGCGGAGATTCGCTCATGATAGCAGGGTGGTCGAACGATAGCGGGGAAATCGACGGGGGCGGAACACCGAGGCTCGAGGGGTTGATCATGGGCGAAAAAGTGGCGCTATAGGGGGTGAAGCTACCTGCCATGTTGCCATTGTCAGGGGGGGCAAAGTAGTTGGGGCTATTGAAGCCAGCCGGGGAGTGAGGAGCAGTCGTCGCCGACATGGGATACTGTCGCATATCCAAAGACCCGAAGCCAGCCTGGGTATCAATGCGCAAGTTAGGGTTGAGAGGGCCCAGCATGTTCGGTTGTTGAGGAATAGGAGCGAAGATCTGGGGGTTGTGGACGGGAGCCTGGTGGTGCTCAGGTTGCGTGATGTGGAAGCTTGGGGGCTGCTGGAGCATCTGGAGTGTCTGGAAATCGATCGGCCCAGGGACACTGCGGCTACGTTGCCTCTTGTGGCCAGGTCCTCCCCGCATCATCATGTTGTTGTTCTGATGGACGTTGATGCCCCATTGGTTCTCCTGGAACATTCCAACGTGCGGCTGCGCGAAGTTTGGCTGAGAAGAGGGACGAGCTGGGGAAACAGGCGCAGACAGGGCCATGGGGTGGTGCATCTCCTGGAACATGTGGTTCGGGCTGTGACGATGCATGAAAGCCTCCAGGCTGACAAGCTTGGCAAGCTGGCCGCTCAGAATCTTGGGGTTGCCACCAAGGTGATGGGTGAGCACGCTTGAAGCTTGCTGATCCTCAGTGAAATCACCGACCTGGAAGAAGCCGCTAGCCTGGCCAGCCGCGTCCATGAAGAAGAGGGGCGGGGAGAGGAGCTCGATCGTGATTCCGCCCATATGATCGCCATCGCCGTTGTTGAGGTAGATATTCTTAATGTAAGAAAAGGGATACTCGATCTTGTATCCTTCCTGCTCGTTGTTGATGTAGTAGGTCATCGTGCACTTGTCGGGGGAGTAAAAGATGATGAGATCCATAGAGTTTTGGGACACGCGCATCCACTTGCCAATAGTAAGCGACTTGCAGGTGAGATGGTGAATCACTGTCGCGAGTTAGCAAGCCGTCCCAACTCCAAGCTCCATGGGGTAATCGAGCCGCAACTTACAAACTTTGCCCTGTCCGCCTTGCTCACCACCAAGCATGCCCTGGTGTCCATATGGCAGCAAACCAGTGCGACCAAAGTAACCAAGACCCTTGCCCGACTCCATCGCCTGCATCGCAAGATACTGTCTCATGGACTCGGGGATGGAATCCATATCCTCGCCGCTTTCCAAGCTCTTCTTCGCCAGAAGCTTGATCTTGGCGCGACTGCTCACAAAGTTAGTCGACAGTCGCAACTGTGAACGGGGAAGAAGCGCGCAGCAGCAAAGACTTACCGGTTCTGGAACCAAATCTGGACAGACCTTTCGGTCATGTTGATCTCCTCCGCTATCCTCTCGCGAACGGTGGCAGTCGGGGTAGGGTTCTTGTTGAACTCCATCTCGAGGGTTGTGAGCTGGTCCTGCGTCGCACGCTGCCTCTTCTGGTTCTTTTGCTGCTGGGTGAGGGTGCTCTTGCGGGGAGGACGCCTCGAGGCCGAAGACTGGCTGTGGTTCTTGTTGCCATTGGCGGGAGTAGAGGGAGAGGGCGAGACACTGTCCTTGGGGAAGCTGGTCGAGTTGGGAGTAGGAAGAGGAGTCATGCTGGAGGTTGGCGAAGGCGCTTCCTGCATCATTGACGGCGGGGCCAAAGCCTCCTGGTTGATTATGTCGGTAGCCATTTCGAGCAGCGCTGGTGTCGTTTCTTTGTTTCCAAAGGAAAGCCAAGAGCGCGTTTAACGATGTTTATCTCTCAATACACGGATCCAGATGTCTCTGGGTTCGGCCTAGTGCTGTCCGACACTGTCTGCCCGTTTCAGGTTGCGCGTCGAGCGGAAGGCTGAAGTGGTGAAGGTGCGATGTCGAAGGCGTATCGCAGTCGTGTGCTTGAGCTAGAAGCTATCGCGAGGTGGCAGATGGCAGCAAAAGGAGGAATGTCGCAAAACAATATGAAAGTCGTATCTTTTTGTGGTAGTAATGAATGTGTCGTCCTGGACCGCAGTAGGTGGGAACAGGAGGATTAGTAGTGATAGTAGTATAGTAGTAGTAAGTACTAAGTGTCTAGCAGTGTTTGGATTGCCAGGGTGAGTGGCAGCGAGAGTGTGTTATGTGTGTGATAGTGGTGATGCTGGTGATGGTGTTGTGGTGTTGATGATGATGATGATGATGCTGAATTCAGACCGTAAAGGAAGGTAGGGACCCGGAAAGAGTGACGGGACCTGATAGAATGGACTGAATTGATTATTGATCCAACTGAACTTGGAAGTGAACGACTGTGGTTAGAAAAGCGAAAGAATGAAGGCAGGGGGAGAGAGAGGAAAGGAAGGCTTGTCGGTGAGAGACGATGCTGACGATGGCGACCGAGGTGGGTTGGAAAAAGAGGGAGTGTGAAAAAAAGAGAGCGACAATGGGCCGGGGACGGGGACATTCGAGGGAAAAAGCAGAAAGGGCAATGGTGGAACATGCGACCACCACCCGACTCCAGCGGGCTCCAGGGCTCCAGGGCTCCAACTAACCTGAACAGGGCTCCAGCAGCGAGCGAGCGATGGGGCGGCACCAGAAAAAGCGGGTCCAGACTCTGGGCAACGAGAGCAACGACTGGGCGACCATCTAGTGGCACTGCGAGACTGCGAATCACTGCGCGAATCGATGGCTGCTGCGAATGGCACCGTCCAGCCAGTGCCTCTGCTCGCTCTGTGGTGCACTGGTGCCCACCACCTGCAAAGGTGGGTCGCTTAATGCGGGTCTAGTGGCGTCCACAAGGGTTGCGGTTGGCCCATATGTCGCCGTGCCTGGTCGTGCCTGGCTCACCTGGCAGAGCGCGCCTTCCATCTCTTCGTCCTCTCCCGGGCAGCTGTCGTCTGGTTCCAGCTTGGTGCAGTTTTGGTGCAGTTCTGGTGCAGTCTGGCGCAGAGGCGATGCAGCAAGTGAGGTGCATCGCCCGCAATGCCCGCCGACAACCCACAGACACCGGCGTCAGAGGTGGGAGGCAGACCGTTGGGATTGGACGCGGTCCGTCACTCGCGAACCACACAAAGCACGGCGATGGCACAGCTCGACACTAGCACACTCGCACATTGACCAACACTCAGCGCGGAACACGGCATGATGGCGACCCTCCTCCCAAGACGTGAGCGACGGTACCTGCAGGAGGACGTGAACTCACTCACTCACTGTCCCCGTCCACAGTCCGTCAGACGCCATCTCGTACCGTGGTCCCGTCCCGTCTCCATGGCAAGCAGTTCAGTTATGTCTCTGTGAGAAAGGCTCTGTCTGTCGTCTGGTCCCTTCTGCAAACCGAAAAGTCCCAGCGAACAGCGATCATGATGGAGTGGATCTCACCCACCACGCTCCCCTTCCTCGTGCTCCTATTCGGGCTCCGACGGCCAAGGCTTTCCGGTCGACCCCGTCGTTTTCCCGATACCCCCAGGTGACCCAGGTACAACCCATCCAGGCCCCGTTTGCACCAGTCGACCAGGTCCCGGACGGACTCGACCATTCAGATGAGAGACGCTACTTTAGCTCCCCAGGGTTACCTTACCACTGGAAAGAACGGCACTCATCCGACTGCCGCCAGGCCTGTTGGTGAGATCCTCTCCTCTGTTCCTGAGCTAGACAGTACCGAAAGAAGCCCTAGAAGTTGAAAGGATCTGGGGGGAACGAAAGGGGAGGGGATGCTTGATTCGGGAGGGCTCGGGCTTGACCGAACTGTCCACAACTCCCATTTCGGTAATCAAGAGCTCGAGACAGACGACGGGGGAGAGTAACCAGGCCTTCAAAATACACAGGACGCAGTACCCTGATGGAGATGGGGAGCCTGACCTGACCTGACTGGCCACGACCTGGCCACCATGCAAGACAGTGAAACCGGTGCAACAGCGATGCTGCCAAAAGGTTCACTAGTCCAGGCCGGCATGGCCAGTCGAGTTCATTTTTCTACATATGGATCTCATTCCCGTCGACAGCAGGTGGTTGTTTTCCTACCCGTTGATGAACATGGTAAATATCGGACGACGACGTTTTCATCTCATCGAGGGAGGACTCGTCCGTTTGATCATCAGCCCAGGAACAATCGACATCCACTCACGGTCCATCATCCGTCGAGGTCAATTGGAATGAATGAGCACAAGCGGATCTTACAATGATCGGGAGAGCTTGCTGCTCCCAGAGCTCTTGTCGAAACATCCAGGTACGTATACTATCGGCCCAATTCTCGTTGTCTGTTATACCATCTGCCACTTTCTCGCCTGGCACCTGTTCATCCGGATACACGAGGAGGCGTAGCTTCCCGGATAATCCTGTCGTGCAACGTGCGCTCGCGTTCATCCTCGGACTCATTCGGGTTCAGTCTGGAAAGCAGATCACCATTCATTGACACTCACAGTGATAACATACTCACCGAAACAGACCCCTATTGCCCTCCAAACCCTTCGGCATCTTGGACCCTTATAAAGTCTCCTAGCTGATCGGCCCTGTTGTCGACGTTTGCTATTGCCGTTGCCGCGGGTTGGCGGGTCAGGAGGGACTGGGAGCCCCAGCAGTCATATGGTATTCGAACAGCGCTATCAGCAAGACCATGCAACGGCCTGACTCTTGCACAAACCATATGCCTCCACCAGCTGTTTGAACTGAAGGTTAGCGCAATGGATCGGCGCGACGTGGTGCGAATTCGGATCGCATCAAGCTGGGATTCATCCACTGGACACCGGAGAGAGACGTGTGTGTTGCACGATGGTCTCTCCACCATCGGCCGTTATAAAGCCATGTCCTCGTTTTTTTTTCTGTTCTCGCTGTTACCCGACGTTGCCGTTGAACATCAACAAAGCCAAAGCTGGCTGTTTGATCCGTCGCTTGGCAATACGCGCCGTTAGCCTCTCCGAAGCGGCTTCGGCTTTTGACACACGCCTCCAGTTGTGGTGCACATGGACAGAGATGCACGGGGCAGTGAGCCAAAATAGATGTTCGTCCCCGGGGTTGCAGCGACGTCAGGCCGGGGGTTTTGGTGTGCACACCAGAAAGCCAAGAAGTGCTTGATGCCATATTCAGGGACACCAATCGGCGTTCATTTAAGCACTTCGGCCCCACGGTTTGGGGGCAGTCTTGGCCCTCTTGGGACTGAAAAAGGGGAAAACAGCGAGACCTCAAGCGACCACACAGTGCGCTAGACTGTCATGGGATCATGGTGTCGCCGTTGGTGTTGTTCTCTTTGCCCTCTTCGCTTTTCTTCCATTTCTCTTCCTTCAACACCATGTCTAGCCTCTCTCTATTTGAGTCGCGATCTCAGGGATGGGCGATTACGTGCGTACTCCAGCTCCTTGGTGTCGCTAAAGCTCATCGATCTCAGGCGAACACTAGAGTCTGTGTCTCCTCATCCTTGTCCTCAGACCGCTGTGTGTTGTGAGACAGGTTCACAAGTTTAGTCCCAGTGTTTACAAGCCTCGACCCCGTCGAGTCCTGTGCTATTCGAAATCGTGCATTGGCGGATTGGCCAGTCTTCAGTGGGGGTCTATCGGATCAGCTGGCGGACCTAGAAGCCCGAAGCACTGCCCACGTTCTCGGCTTTCCTTTTTCATTGGGATTCTATGGGGAAAGGGCAAGGGGTTGTTGATGTTGGAATTCTGGCTGATATTCCTTCGGGACATCGCCACCACAAGATGAAAGTTTGTTCAAGTGCATCTTCTATCGTCGTTTTGGGTGCCTGCAGACAGAACAGGGCGCGGAGAAACAGACTTCAAGACAGCAAAGAAAAAAAGTCAATTGAAGTGGGCAGAGACGTCAGACGCACGTCTGTGCACGGTGCTGCGACCTTGCAAGTTGCTGCAGTGTGTTCCTGCGTTAGCGCCCTTTTTTACTCCGCGATGCTGATGCGGCGTCAACACACGACCATGCCTGCTCCTCTTGCCTGCTGCATGGTGACAACTACTATGAAACCAGGCAGGTCAAGCTCTCTCCAGGCGGCTCCCCACAAGTATTGCGGCAAATATTGTCATGGGCTCTCTTCCGATGGTTCGCATGACGCGGTCAATTCCGGGATAAGCTTGCGAGGAATGATAGGTAACGGGTGAGATGGGGGCGATAACACTGATAATCGACAGCATCCTCCAAGATACCGGGCACGAAAATGATACAGCGCCGATAGAAAAAGAACAAGTCACTGACCGGTCTTATCACATGACCACAGCTGTCTACCGGGACGGGTATATGATCTTCTTACAAGCCCACATCGTCTGTGTTTTCCCAGGTCCTTCTCGATCTCGCACTGGTCTATCTACATAATAACGTAGCCTCATGCTCTCAACGGGAAAGGTCCGGCAGCTGGCCAATGGAATGAAATTGGGCCCGGGCTTGTGGACTACCAGGAACGGGGCATTTTTCTTATGACAGCCGCCCGGTCCGCAAGAATGCTTCCTAGCTCCTGAACTTGATGGCGGACGTGACAGAGAAAAGCCGGAGACGGGTAGGATCTTGATCAAAGACGGCAAAAACCGCAAGAGAACTACTATACTGTTGACAAACCGGCGTGGAGACTCGGACATCACTAGCATCCGATGACAGGACGACGCTCTGACAGGCCGGCGCTACGAAACCGCGGCAAACGGGCGTTTGTCCGTGTTTATTTCCAGATCAAACCAGAGGCAATGCCTGCCTTTTCTCAGACGTGGCTATCTCCGAGAAAGATGTTTATTCCGGCAAGGCAGATTCTCCATTTCGAAGATTGATTGTTTGAGGTGTGTTACCCTTGAGAAGACAGGCTTTCTGGATCTCAAGAAAACACAGCATCCCCTCGTCATAGTTTGGGTTTCAACTAATGCGACTGCGATGCGATGACCGGCGTCCCTGCGAGGGAGACATCCACAGAAGGAACTTGTCTGGACAGTGCGACAGCAATCAGCAACAGCGACGGACAAGCACAAGGTCGAGAACCCACCTTACCCCTGGATTTGTGGAGCATACAAGGATCACTAGCGGCATAACAAGTCAGGAACAGTTTCTAAGCGGTGCGATTCCATTGGTTGTCGGATTTTGAGCTACCCCAAACGGGGCTTAGCTCTGATCATGGGCATGGTCTGTGCCCGGCCTTTTTTCCCTTTCCTCTTCCTCTCGGTGCCTTTCTGTCGCCGGTCACCCATCTGACCCAGAGTCGATCTCTCCTCCTGACAAGCCCGACCATTCATCCGTCCAATCCCTCACCCCGAAGCTCACCCAAGACAACCTTCAATGCCGTCCATCCATCTCACCCCCAATGATGTGCGCCGTCTCAGTGCACACATCCATCGGAATGGCAAAAGAGGGGCATGCCAATGCAAATCCTACATTTCTTTTTCGAGGCAAACCCAATCGTATATTTGGTGGGGGTTACAATATCACATTCGTTGTCTTGGTCGTACACACAACACACACAACACGTCAAAACTGCCCGGATAGAAAACAGAAGAACAACGGAAAAAACTCTGAAAACTGAAAAATAGGAAGAGTTCTCAACCGCCCCAGCACACTTGTCACTACGAGGTGCACCGTGCGGTTACATCTTGCTGATGACGACCTTCAACTGCTAACAAGCGATATGATCTTTGGCGGAGCTTTTCGTCCCCCTTTCCCCATCCGGCTGTGGAGGAGGCATTCGAACATCGTCCGTCTACCGGAGCTGCGAATGGGCCTTGGGGACGCGCTCAGAATAGGAACGAACACGCTCGCGGTCCTTTCACTCTTTTTTTCCAACGCGAGACGACGGCGGGCGATCGTTCATGCGGCCACCCGCTCCGTTTGATGATTGGCCTGTCTTCTGAGTGTCTGCTTGAAGGTGTCCAAAGCCTCATGCACATCTGACTGGCCGTAAGCTCTGTACGCCGGCGAACGAAGACAAAAGCACTGCGGATGGACGCTGACAGAAAAAGGGCATGCGAAACACCCGATGTCGTAAAAGCACCACTGACTATCAGGAACAGGAAAGTTGGAAACATGTCGCGAGCTGGAGATGCAAGAGCCAAAATAACCACAGAGCCTCGTCAACCAAGATCTGAAGATTCTCGAAACACACCTGACCGCGGGAAGCCATGTGGTCATGACGATAAGCCCAAGGCCAATCCCCGGTGAGATATCGACGGTGGCCATGTCAAGTGGCCAGCCTGAGCTGGGTTTACTTGGGGGGTTCTGGGCGCCAAGCTTTCTTTCCCCCCTACTCGTTAAGTAGGGGTAGCGAAAATCTGGGACAGGTTTTTATTCTTGGGACATCTGAACTGGCGCCAAAAGACCAAGAAACCTGTTAGTGCAGCATCGATCGCGAACCATTTCAACCACCACCATTTTCTAAAATTCTGAAAACATTCAGGGAGTATAAGGAAGTATTAAAATAAGCATCCTCAAAGTTGCATCAATTTTGAACGAAACGTTGGGAAGAAAACGCGAGCGCGCTCTCTTTTGCTGTCAAAATGTCGGTTCGGCTTGGCGGTTAGTGAAACTAAAAGCGACGACATTTAATAATTGAGGAAGACTCCGGAAGCAACTACTCATTCAATTTCCTAAATGAAATCTCCAAACTTTGAGAGGCAATTCTTCTATCTTGAGTATCGCTTCCCAAATTTTCCCCGAATTTTAGAAAAATGGTGGATGTAGTTATCATTGTTGCATCCTGTCCACTAACACTTTTCGGTAGTATACGCTAACATTTCAGATGTCCCACGAATAAAAACCTGTCCCAGATTTTCGCTACACCCTACTTAACGAGTAGGGGGGAAAGAAAGCTTGGCGCCCAGAACCCCCCAAGTACACGAGCACACCACAGTCACCTCCTCTCCTGATGTTTCCGCCCACCAATGTATGACGGAGCTCTCGGCAGTTATTAGGCGACGGTGGCGCTCTCTCTCCTTCTCTTCAGCCCTGAAAGTGGACGCCGTTCCTCGAAATCATGAACAACCATAAACATCAGCTCCCCTTGTCCGATAAAGCCGCTGTGCTTCGCTGTCAGCCTCGGGTTTATCAACCTGGCATGACGGACAAGCCCGCATCGTGTTCGGGGCTCCATCTCATCGACGTTAAGGCATGACGGTCTCCTTCTTATTTGACTGGATTTGGAGTCCTGCTCCGCACGCACACCAACGATGCCACCGATGCCCACTCAACATCGTCATGCTAGGCCGATATGTTTTTAGATGACTTGAACCAAGTGTTCGTTTGTCAATTCATTCTGTGACGGCATAAGATCTCGCTGTTTGTTCTATACAATGTTTCCTTCACGGTGAGTGTTGACGGAACAAGGAACCCACTCACATTGGGCTCGCTCCATCAGAATGGGAAGCCAGAAACACCATGATAACCGTTGGATTTGAAACTCAAAAAAGAAAGTGATATCAGGCGATACGCAGGCCGCCCGGTGTTATACCCAGCAGAGTTTAGAGCTGCGAACGTTTGGTTCGTCAATGCCGGACTTTTCATGTCTCACGAGCGGTGCGCCCCCGGCTCCGGGGTAGTCACCGGGGTCCCGGGGTACAACGTCAGAGAACCTGTCGACCTCGGATGCTCGGCTCCTATCCGAAGCAGCGGGCCGGAAGAATGAACAAAAGCGGATGACGACTCCGTCTGGTCGTCGAAACTACCCCATCCCGCCTGAACTCGCCGGGGTATTTCCCCCCGTCAAGAGTGCCCTCTCCGTTCGGGTTTCTCGCATGATCATGCAACGGTCAACAAGGTTGCATCCCCATTCCAACCACCAATCCCAGGACGGGCCTCCGAACTTCTGAAACTCCCGGGTCAAGTGTCAAGCCGAACATGACAAAAAGAAATGTCCGTGTTCACCCCGGTCATCCACTGTTCAAACGGTAGCGGCATCCCGTTGAGGAAGGTTGTTGACGACAACCCGTTCTCGGCTCGTTTAATACCCCAGATCTGACGATACGATGACTCGCGTCACCGCCGTCAACATTTATGCATCTCTTGGCGACGGATGGTTCATCGATCTCAACATCGACGAGATCGATCGAACGAACATGTTTGCATAACTCTTGCATCCTGCATGGTTTAGGCAACACGATAACACTGCGTTTTCTTCACCGCAATCCTCTGGCCAAATGGTAGCGAATATCTACCGACAATGTCTCACATGCACCCTTATGCTTGCTTTTCCTTCAAGTTATGTTGTGTTGTTTACGCGTTCTCAATCTCGTTCTTCCCGTTCGCTTGCTTTTTTATTCTACCAACCTCATACTTACCCCCATCAACCTCTGACAGGAACGCTTCCTCATCAAGGGTGATCGTCGACCAGGGATAGATGCCATGGTGGCACATGCTACCAAGACCGGGAGATCCTGTTCGTCTGTACACTATTTGTCATTGTGCCCTGGACCATGATCTGGCAAGTGGCAAGATGAAGATGGTTATTGGGGTCGTTGAGCTACAGGATTTTCAAGGCTATCCCTTCCTGGTCTTTTCTGCTGTTCACATTCTCCCAGAAAATCTATTCCATGGGAGAACCTAGTACTGTACTACGACAGAGTTCCCTCTCGTGAAGATGTGATGCAGTTTGCCATGCAACAGAGCTATAGTCAAGTACTTGTAACCTTAGCCAAACCAAACGAAACCATGGAGATCATATATAGCTATGCTAAATAGGTAACCCCCACCTCCTTTCCCGTCTATACCTTGTATGTATACTTCCTGTTCTCTTCTGTCGTATCTTCTCGAAGTCGAGACAGCATGATCCCAGTCCTTGTTTATACAGAGTTATGTTTAACCCATCATCCTCATACAAACTATACATAGTTCTTCAAGCACAAGTCGAAAGGTCTACTAAACCGCTAGCTCTACAAGTCTATTATACTCGGATATATTTTCCACAATCTCCATGCCAAGCCAAACACTTTCCTTCTACCCGTCCTCTACTCAACCTCAACCAAAACCAGGATCCTTCGTCCGGCTATATATAATAATCACACAATCCTTCGCCAGGAAACCCCAGGAATATTCCAACAACCGTCTTCCTTGCCCACTCGTCCCGCTCCGTTCCGTCCCTCCCGGCCGCCGCACGCCCGACTGCTCGGGCAGCCGGGCCGATTCTTAGCTTGATGAGCTAGGTGAGCTACGAAAGGTACGGGAGCTTGGCGAGCTTGGAGCCTTGGCTGGGTTCGTTGTTGGGTTTGTTGGGCTGTGGGTTTAGACGTTGGGACTTTGGGACTTTGAGGAATACGAGGGACTTGGGTATATAGAAGATATTTGCTACTGCTGCGGTGGGTATACGTATCGATAGTTGTGAGAAAGGATTTGTTTTAACTGAAGTTGTTTGAACTTGATAATGATACACACCACGATAAAGACTTTTTTTTTTTTTTTTTTTTTGGGTCAATTACATGCAGCGCAGGTTATCCAGATATTTCTCGTGTCTATTATACCTTGGGAAACACTGGAGTATATGTGTCAAAGGAGACAGTCTTTCTTTACTCTGACGAGAACCGTTTCACTCACTAGTCTACGTAGGTAGACATGTCTACACTTGCCTCTTAAGAATATCATACTTGTGTCTTAAGTATATCTCAGGCGCGCGAAATGACGTCGGCTCGGTATGAGGCAGCCCTTACATCGCTCATGTGAATAATACCTCTAAAGAATGAAATATCATTGGTAATAAACAGTTTTGGCAGCATAGTTCGGCGAGCAAGAGGAATGAATGTATCTTCATGTAAGGAATCGCAACTGAAGCTGAGCTGAGCCACTTCTGTCGGGGAGGAGGAAGATGGAGGAGGGAGAGGTCGATAGGGGGAGGGGCAAATACCTATCTATGCTTGTGCTTTCGATGACGGGGGTAGACAAGGAGGGCTTCGTTCAACTGCGAAATTGGAGTCGCTACCTACCTTACTCGGTCTTACATGAATGACAGATTGAGAATGATCAAGAGAACAAAATAGTATCGTCACCGCGCTTGGCTCACGTGCACGCGACCACAACTTCCAGTCAGAGACAGGCAGGCAGGCAGGCAGGCGGGGGCTGTATACACATGGAAGGAGCAACACCCAGCTGAGGGCGGGGTGAGGCGAGGTAAAAAGGAAAGAACGAACAAAAGCACAAAAAAAAAGAGAAGACAAGAACGCCTCACCCCTGATTCGAATGCCTTACACGCGGTTAAGTTCAAGGAAGGAAGGGAGGAAGGAACAGGGAAAGGGCAACACAAATACCGCTGTGCCACCCGTCCCGGGAGTGTGAGTCTTGTCTACTGGGAGGTATTAGGATTGGGCGCGGTCGAAGTAGTATATGTAGGAGGGAATGATTGATTGGCTGTGTGCTTCATTCAGGTTTGGGAAACGGGCAGCACGGGGCCGAGACGAGAGTTGGGATGAAAGGTTGGGTCATGTGTTGGAGGTAGTTGGCCAAGACGAAGGATGTTCGGCGGGCAAAAGTGAGTTGTGATTGTTGAAGGGTTACTCACACGTTGTGGTTGCGTTCAGATCGTAGCCAGATAGTTTTGATGTTGTAAAATATAAAGTTATAATGTTAAGAAGCGGCCGGTTATATATGTGAAGATGTTTGCGAGTGTCCGAAGACTGTTAAACCAACCCTCGGCGTGGTTGTCACGACATTAGGTTACCCTTTATCAACTAGTTAGACTGAGTTATGTTTCATGTTTCTCTAAACGCAGTACCAGCCCTTCCTTCAAATACAACTAATATTATGCTTCGCCTTCTATGGTGTCTAACGGACCAGAAGCACCCCTATGGCGCCTAGCTTTCTATGATTGGTATCAAAATATGCGACAAAAGCTCCCCATTCTACTCTTTACCTAAACTCAGTGCGACTAACCCCAACACCGTCCATTTGACAACCGAGCGCACCTTCTAAGCAGTGGTCTCCCCAACCTCAGTTGGCGCGACAACCGTTGGCTTTTCCTCTTCTTTCTTCTCCTCCACAGGCGCCGCCGCAGGAGTCGGTTCTGGAATAGCAGCAGACTCGGGGGCCGGTGCTGGCGCCTCCTTGGGAGCCTCCGTGGTCGTTGGTACAGGGGCAGCAGCGGGAGGGGGAGCGAGAGCAGTGACCGCCTCAGACTCAGCAGCCAGCGCAGGCGCAGATGCGGCAGGAGTGGGCTCGGGAGCAGAGGTGGCAGCGGCAACAGGACCGGCAACACCAACCTGGGCATGACCAGTGATGAAATCCTCCAACTCGCCAATCTGCTGGCCACCGGAAACCCAGCGCTGGTACTTGGCCTCACGCTTCTCGGCGCACATCTTCTGCAGGGCGGGCCAGTAGGTGGCGTGATCGTAGTCGAACTCGAGAGTGCCGTTGAACTCGGTCCAGAGCTGCTCGGCGGGGACGTACTTCTTCATGTCCTCGTTGAACTTGAGCTTCTCGCGGGTGTTAGGATCGATGAAGGGAGTAATGAGCTTGAAGAAGCCGTTGACAATCCAGGGAACTGTAATTGGTCAGTTATCAGGAGTTCGTCAGAGATTAGGCATTGGACATACCGTTGATAATGAGAGCGCGTCCGAGTCTTTCGGGGTAGTGGTTCTGAAGGATGTTAAGAACTTCGCGAGCCAGACCGAGTCCGGGAGCCGTGTTCGACCTGGACTTGCTCGACTTGAAGTTGATGAGCAGAGACAGAGTCTCAACCTGGGGCGGCATAAGCTCGATAACGCGCTCGAGCATGAAGACGAGGTGCTGAACTTGGCGAGGAGAGGCCTCGGTGTTCTGGCGGCCGGGGTTCAGGTAATGGCAGACGCGGCCCTCCTTGTCGTAGCCCAAGATAATCTGCTTTCCAGTCTCGTTCTCGGGCGAGATGTGATCCGCGGTCAACTCCTCGACACCGTACTCTCTCCTCCACGTAAGCGTGCCCAGGATGCGTTTCTCAGCCTCCTTTTGATTCCATTTCGTTGCGCGCAGGAAGCGGAGAAGACATTCCCGAGTCAACCAGAACTTCTCTCTGTGGGTGAGGGGACCGGCCTTGCCTTCAGCCGCTGGGACTTCCTTCCAGTTCTTGACTTGCTCGAGCAACGAGTTGTACTTTTCCTGCTGGTCAGCCGTAAGCGCCGCTTGGGGCCTGGGCTGGCTGTCAGGGGTGGGGGAAGCCAGAGGGACCTTGAGGACGGTGGCCATTTTGAGTGAGCGATGGGTTGAGAGTTGGGTATTAAAGAAAGTAGGTTGAGTAAGCTCTTAGAAAGCAGGAAGAACGGAAGAAGATGTGGGAGGTGGTTTAGGGAAAGAAAGCCGAGATAAGTCGAAGTGGAAGTGTAGTGGAATTGGACGACGACGATGTGTCAGCCACAACCGAATTAGGGGTTTTGATTGCTGGCCTCAAATCGCTTCGATGATCACGGAAATTGGCGAATATCTATCCGACTGAACCGAAGAAAAGCCAAGACTTGGAACCAAGATATGGAAGATTTGTAGTCAAATATTGAAAAGATATGCTATTTTGAAGATGTCACCAACCGAACATGTCAATCTTCTTGAGTCTTCGTTAAGCAATGCACCTTGATAAACACCTCTGTGCACTTCGGACGATCCGTCTGCAACGTGCAAGCACAGCTCTCAAACTTGCATCGAAGCGCTTTCCCGAATCTGGAGTTAGCGTTAGGGAAGCCACGCACCAGCCACAGATCCCCTGAGCTCCATAGCGTCACACCCTCAAGACACAAGGACCACCCACCCCTGCCAATTGGTTTAGCGTGTTTTCGCGTTAATTGATTTCTACGGCGCGGTTAGCATGACGCGTTCTGTAAATGTGTAGTTCCCCTCCATGATTATCTTCGTGATACCCAGTACAGGTAACTTTCAATTCGTGAAAACACAACCTTAGGCCCGTTAGTTTGGAGACTCGACCAACCTGTTAAACACCACGAGCACCCGAGAGAAAAGCCAGCGCAAACATCACAATCGCGATCATGGCCGATCCAGTCGTGGCCGAGCTCAACGAGCGCTTCGGCACTGCCAACACCGAGCTGTCACCCGATGTCATCTACGAGCTCCAATCGATCATGCGCCTGCACGAACTCGACGTCCAAGATATGTTCTTCAAGTGGGAGTCGTACTGCATCAAGATGGACATGGACCAGCCCAAGATGTCCATGTCCACAGTTCGCAAGTTCAAGCAGGACCTACAAGACACACTAGAACGAGCAAACCGAGCGCAGGCGCTGGAGCAAGTCAAGACCGAAAAACGACCGGGAGGAACACCAAGGCCAGGAGCGAGGAACAATAGCGATGTGTTTGGTATGCTCGATGGACTTACAACGCCGGCCGCCCGACGGGCAGCAAAGCTCGGTTCGGCCAGGAAAACACTAATGGGGACACCGATCAGCTCCCGCTTGAAGAATGAGCCCGTAAGCTCGCCGATGAAGCTGGAGGCTCAACTGGATGCCATGGGCGCTATTCCGTATGTCAAGACCAAATCTGTGCCGACGTATTCCTGCTAACCGTTCCAAGACCATCTTCTTTCAAAGACAGACAAAACGCCGGCGAAGCGATCGAGATCCTCAACGAAAACCTCCCTGTGCCCGAACCTCCCATCGCTCCCTTTGGCGAGTCTCGCATCAAACTTACTGCCGCCTCCGACCAGAAGAAGCTGGGATACAAGCCACTTGCAATGAAGCTCTCCGAAGCATCAGAGATCTTGGACGACAGGATAGACGACTTCACTACTTTGGTTCTGGAACATCTCAAGTTGGACGAATCTGCATTCGGCAGTGCGGCTATGCAGAGTACTACGGAGATCGTGGCAGTCGGACGCATTGCATCTGATTCGTCCGAAGGCAAGCTCAATGCCGCTTCCCTGGTATTAGAGACCTCGAGGAGGATGGGCGGCGGTTTCCGAGTACCCCTAAACGTGAGCAAGCTCAAGGGTTACCAGTTCTTCCCCGGACAGATCGTCGCACTACGCGGAACCAACACCACAGGGCGCGAGTTCACTGTGAACGAAGTCCTGCGCATGCCTCTCATGCCCAATGCTGCCTCCGCCCTAGAGACCATGGCCGCACACCGCGAGAGGCTACGCGGCGGTCCGGACGCCATGGACACAGACGACGAGAACCCCATGCCTCTTAACGTCATCTTCGCCTCCGGCCCCTACACCGCCGACGACAACCTTGACTTCGAGCCGCTCCACACTCTCATCAACGAAGCAGCAGACACCTACGCCGACGCCGTCATCCTCACCGGTCCCTTCATCGACGCCGAGCACCCCCTCATCGCCTCGGGCGACTTCGACCTCCCCGAGGAAGCCGTCTACGACCCCGACGCCGCCACCATGAGCACCGTCTTCAAGTACCTCATCTCGCCCGCACTGAACCGACTCGTATCCGCCAACCCCCACGTCACCATCCTCCTCGTTCCCTCGGTCCGCGACGTAATCGACCGCCACGTCTCCTGGCCACAAGACGCTTTCCCCCGCAAGGAGCTCGGCCTGCACAAGAGCATCAAGATCATCGGCAACCCGATGACGCTCAGCCTCAACGAGACGGTGGTGGGGATCAGCAGCCAGGATGCGCTGTGGGAGCTCAAACACGAGGAGTTGATCGGTGGTACGGTGGAGGATACTAACGGCTTGTCGAGGGTGGCGAGGTACCTGATCGAGCAGAGGCATTATTTCCCGCTGTTCCCGCCGACGGATCGGACGAAGCTGCCGAAGACGGGCAGGCAGGTGATTGATGGGCAGGCGGCGCCGGGCGCGATGCTGGATGTTAGTTATTTGAAGTTGGGAGAGATGGTTAATGTGCGCCCGGATGTGTTGATTGTGCCCAGTGCGTTGCCGCCTTTTGCAAAGGTATGTTTTGTGGTGTCGTACTTTTTTCCCATCCAGAAAACGCGTTCAGTTGCTGACTTTTCGGTCCCCTTTCTTAGGTCATTGAGAGTGTGCTGGTTATCAACCCCGGGTATCTGTCACAACGCAAGCGAGCGGGTACATATGCCAGGATGACACTGTATCCGCCAAAGCTGTCGGAGGCGGATGCTGCGCCTGGCGGGATGCTTGCCCACAGGGTCTTTGAGAGGGCGAGGGTGGAGGTTACCAGGATTTGAACGGGATATGAAAGTTTTGGGGTTCGTAGACATGTCTTGAATGATGTGGCAACTGGAGGTATGGTTCTGGGTTGAACTATTTTTGGCATTGGTATTAGGATATAACCAGGTGGTTCGGCGTCGGAATGGAAAAGTATGCACATCCAGCTTGGTGATACTGTACATCGATATTACTGCAAGGAGTACTAGCATAACCCGAGGTGGCCGCAGGTAGGCATGACAGGCTACTACCTAGTATCCACCCTTCTTCGTTTGTCGCTCTCATGACGATCTCGCTCTCTGGATGGTGACCGTTTCCTCCGCTCACCGTGGTCGCGATCACGATCACGTCTTGGGGACGGCGACCGGCGCCTCTCCCTGTAATCATCATCCCGACGTCTGTCACGGTCCCGGTGCCGGTCTCTGTCTCCGTCCCTATCACGGTAACGATCCCGGGAACGGTCTCCATCGCGGTCGCGATCCCTATCGCCTCCCCTATACCGATCCTCGCCACGCGACCGGTCGTCACCCCTTGGTCTCTCAGAAGCGCTCTTCCGATCACCCAGCGGAATGGCATTCGAGCCCTTCGGCCCATCACCACCCCTATCACTGTACCGATCCCTATGCGAGCCGTCAGGCTGGAATCTTTCATCTCCAAACCTGTCAAACTCCCTCCCCGGTCTGTTGTCATGCAACCGGCCCCACTGTCCCGTATCCTCACTCTTGAGGTCTCTGTACTTGGTGGCGCCCTTCCTTCCCAACTTGGTCATGTCTCGCAACTGCAGCGCCTTCGGCAACAGGTCCCGGTTCCTAACATCGTCCGCAAACCTCGCGCCCATAATGTCTCGCTTATCCAGTCCCATCTCCTTGCTCTCATCCTGGAAGAAAGCACCCTTGTGGAAGTACTTTTGCATGTACGCCATCTTGCCTTTGCCCTCCTTCTCCTCCTTTTGCTGCTGCAGGTGTTTCTCGTCTTCGGCACGACGCTCTTCTTCCGTGAGGTTCCGCCGGCGCTCGATCTCTGCGAGTTCCTTCTCCTTGGCCTCGATGGCCTCACGCTCGCGACGCACACGCTTGAGCTCGCGCAGCTTCCAGGCAGCATATTCGGCTTCGGGGTCGATGTCGTCCGTGTCGTCGATTTGGTCGTCTTCTGGGTCGGTGTCGTCGTCCCAATGCTTCTTGCCGGCGGCGCGGGCGGCGATGTCTTTTTTGATTTGCTCCTCAACGAGCTCGTCGGCAGCGCGGCGGCGGGCCTCTTCGGCAGCTGCTTCGTCTTCTTCGGGTGTTGACTTCTTTCCTGTTGAGGTGGAGTTGGATGCGGTTACCCCAGCTTCGCGGTCGGCCTTGCGAATGAACTTTGGTCGCAGCATCAGCCGCCTTGGTGCTTCCTCTTCTTCTGAGCTCTCTTCCTCTTCGGACCCTTCTTCTGAGCTACCACTTTCCTCTTCCTCTTCGTCTTCCTCCTCTGTCACGAACCCCTCCTCTCTTGCTTTCTGTTCGGCCGCAATGCGCGCCTTCGCAGCTGCTGCCCGTCGCTGATTTTCTTCTTCCTCGTCGTCTTGGGCGCTGCTGCCTATCCCGACGGCTTTCAGGTTGATCTTGCCATCGTTGCCACGGCTGATGATTCGGCCGGGACCTGCTGCGTTGACGAACTTGGGCGCTGGCACCTTCCGCGTGGGAGGCTTCTTGGGGGCCTCCTCGTCGTCTTCGGAAACGTTGTCGGATTCGGATTCGGAGTCGACTCCGGTGGGCTTGCCGGCGCGGTAGCGCGGTGCCTTGACCGGGTTGGCCGTCATGCTCTTAGCTGGCGGCATAGTGGGCGTGGGTGTGGGCGTGTAAAGCTGATATCGGGTTGGCAATGCAAGGCTGAAAGATTAAACTAAGTACAGATAGCGAACCCAAAAGGATGAAATGGAGTTCAGAATGAAATGGGAAGTGCAACTTTCATGTCCGGGTGGTAATGATGAAATTACAGTGCAACGGTCAAGTACGATACGTGCAGTATGTAAATTTCGTGACGCGGCAAGTGGACCTTGCAGGGCACAGCGGGTTGTTTGGTTCCCGCTGCCAAGACCCGGCGCAGCTACCGAATGCCCCGCATG